CATATTCACACGTTTGACAAAGCAACCGCACAATAAATACGCTAATTCGACAGACTTCCTAGAGCAACACATAATTAAAATCGTCGCCAGATTATCCTCACAGTTTTGATTTAATTGAAAGGTATTTTTGCTTAAATCCGATCATCAATTACTCGTCTGTAGGGCAAGCAATTTAATAGCACAGTTTAATATTTTATGAACACAATCTTACACATGAATTCAAAATGGCATCGTATAATTTGATAATCTGACGGTCAAAAATGTAGAGTTGCATAGAGAATATTTTGAGGACATGCTTTGACGTTATGTTCACTAATCATAAACTTCGTTACACAGGGTAAAATCATTCAGCACTTAAAAAATTACCCGTCGTATGTTATATATGTCTCGGTTGGAAAGATCCCTTATATAAACCATATTGCCAAAGACCTATTAAAGCTTTACTTAATTCCATTTATGGATACCTTATTACATATTTAGGTTGGTTGGTTGAATATTTACGGCGCATCAGCACAAAGAGGCCATTTAGCGTCATACAAAAGATTATATCCTTCATTTTATACAAATGGTAAAAAGGTTCTGTATCGGCCAGAGATACGAAACCAAATTGCTAAAAGTAAAACGATAAAAATGGTAACCGTGATAAAAATAAAGTTTCCCGATCATCGGAGATTGCCAATAATGTATGACAACGAAAACATATGAGAGGTAATTAAAATCTAGCGACTGTACATATATAGCACTTAAAAATGTTTAAGATGATAGGATAATAGTTATAACTTATGATATATGTTTTACTTAAGGAAGTCTATAACATAAGAAATACTAACTGTATCAAAGAGCTCTCTCATGTCTTGCACATTATAATAATGATTACTTGTAGATTGGAGGTCTTAACACTCCAGCATAAAGTGTTTAACTGTGAATGGTCCATTGCAAGATATGCATTCTGGTGGGTCTTCTTTTAGTATGTAGGAGTGGGTTAAATGAGTATGGCCAATTCGAATTCTAGCAATGACTACCTCCTTCCTACGGTCGGCTCTGTAAGAAGGAGTTTATTCTCCTAGGATTGGCTTTATGGTATGAAGTTTATTATTCACAGCATCATTCCATGATGCCTGCCATTTCTGACGTAAACAGTCTTTGATACAACGCTTAAAATCAGTATATGGTGTTTTAAAATCAGATGGCTCTAATGATATGGCCATTTTAGCAGCGCTGTCTGCTTTATCATTACCTTTAATTCCAACATGGCTGTGTAACCAACAGTATACTATATTATGCGAGATACTCGACACACTGTGCGTAGGAATAATGAATATATATAATCAAGTTTACATGAACCACACAAGCTGATATCGATAACACAGATTTTGATCGCCATCCTTTACCGAAGAAAGTTTACTTTTGATAAAATTATTTTAATCTTGAAATGACAACGTTTATATTCCCTGACAACGTCATTAGTTGATTAGTGGCAAAAGGATGGTATATGTAACTTGTTAATCTTGAAAATACAATATCCAGATAGTAAGGCACAATATAAATTATTACACCTTTAGTCCTCTGTTATGCGTTCTATGTCTTGTCGCTTATATGGATACTTAACGATAGAGTTTTATAATGTTTTTGTCGCATATGAGCCTTTATGATTAGGAAATGGTATACATATTCAATATTGGTAGCCCGTTAGAGGATATTTGAAGCATCTTGTTGTCACGAAATTGTATCAGTGTACGCAAATGTGTGTGAATTATATAAAGACGAAAATATGGATTTTTTGTGACGTGTGCAGCATTATTCAGATGTTTATTTGTCTTACACTTAGTGTTTTACAAATTCTGGTGAGTCTTCACTCACTGGAGCACGCACAAAGCGTCGGCAGTGGAGAACCCATTTGATCTCGCATTATTTGACCGATATCTGGATGTGACCACGATCACAGTAATTAAGGCCAAACTCTTTGTCTGTATTGTCATAATGCAGATTAAATTTGTTAGTGATATCCATTCCCTTTGTTATTCGTTTGACGTGAAGAAATTGTTTAACAGACGTCGTTTTATGAACATATTCAAACGTCTATAGACAATCGCATCCACATCACATTTCACCCTGATATCAGACCAGATCGAATATAGTCTGTTCCAGGTTAGCCATTGTATAATTGAATAAAGATGACGAATGTAATTACATGTTGTACAAATGATGAAAAATTATCGTATTCTTATAATCGATCGAAATGATTATTTTACAAATCTCATACAATCGTTATTATGATGCATTTTAATGGATAACACAGTTTACGATTGCTTAATTTACATCGGTGTATTCGCATTTAAACGTGTTACGTGTTTTGCATGGATAGGCCATTATATTTTAGCTTTTGGTCTTCGAAGTCTATGGGCTTGTCAATGGTGAAATAGGTTTGAGAAACCTTAATGGTTTTCAGATTGTCGCATTAAAAATTATGTACAATTCGATATATATATATATATATATCTATATATATATATATATATATATATATATATATATATATATATATATATATATATATATATATATATATATGAAAACTATGCACTAGTAGAATTTAACATTTTCTAAATCTTCTTATTATCCTTCAATTTTTACTATAAGAATAACCGGTATAGAATCAAATATCCGGGATGTAATCTGCGTTACATATGTACACAAAGTAAAAATAGATGTCGCTTTGGCTTGTAGACTTTTAGGGAATTATACAACGTTTTCAGTTTCCGCAACTAGTCTATACAAGCTGGTTGTATTTATAGTTTTAGCACATGAGAAGATAGAAATGTAGAGGTTTACAAACACAACGTTTTTGTGTTTATTTGTTTGTCGTAACTATGTTTTGTATTTGCCTTTGAAAAAGACTCATTAGGAGTCGAAAGCGCTTAGGCTAGTTAGTTACTAGTTTCGTACTGTTCGTCGTCAGTTTATTGCATCTATTTTAATTAATCCCTGACAAACGTGATCCCTTGGTGGATCCAGTACGCTTGAGAGGGTTGTTATTCGCCATATGATTTGTATTCTATATATATATATATATATATATATATATATATATATATATATATATATATGTCTATATATATATATATATATATATATATATATATATATATATATATATATATATATATATAATACAAATCATATGGCGAATAACAACCCTCTCAAGCGTACTGGATCCACCAAGGGAACACGTTTGTTGTCAGGGATTAATTAAAATAGATGCAATAAACTGACGACGAACAGTACGAAACTAGTAACTAACTAGCCTAAGCGCTTTCGACTCTTAATGAGTCTTTTTCAAAGGCAAATACAAAACATAGTTACGACAAACAAATAAACACAAAAACGTTGTGTTTGTAAACCTCTACATTTCTATCTTCACATGTGCTAAAACTATAAATACAACCAGCTTGTATAGACTAGTTGCGGAAACTGAAAACGTTGTATAATTCCCTAAAAGTCTACAAGCCAAAGCGACATCTATTTTTACTTTGTGTACATATGTAACGCAGATTACATCCCGGATATTTGATTCTATACCGGTTATTCTTATAGTAAAAATTGAAGGATAATAAGAAGATTTAGAAAATGTTAAATTCTACTAGTGCATAGTTTTCATTTTCTAGTCTTCTTGGTTTAGTGCGCTTGGGTTCAATGTTCTAAGGCGGCGTATCCAGTATGATTCCTTTTCCTTCCTGGTTTCGGAACTCCAGCTGTGGTTGTTAGCAATAGCGATAAGTATTATATCACTGAAAGTGTGGCCAGTGGAGGAGAAGTGTTTTGCGAAATTATATATATGGGTGGGGATGGGGGGTGTATAAGTGTGTGTTTCGAAACAAATATTATAAAGGAGTGAGAAGCAACACGCATTGTAAAATTTAACAAATAATTTTTTTCCTTACAATGCAAATTGAAAATGTAAAATAAAGGACGTACGGTATTGCGAATTAAATCTCAAATAATCCTGAATTAATGACACGGTTCCTAAAGATTAAAGTGCTGAACCAATTGTAGTGAAAATCCTACGCAGGAATTATTGGTATGCCAGTAGTGGCAATTGTAGTAATAATGTTCTTTTAGCACTTTGTTGAATATATCCTTAGTTGCAATTTCACTATAAATTCTAGACTCTATCAGTATGAATGTTATTTTTGAAAATACTTTATACGAGTGCTTTGGTTTATTCCATTGAATAAATAATCTGAAAAACAAGATTATACCGTCCTATATGGCCATAATTACCATTTTGTAAAAATGGACTATTTCCCAATACAAATACCTTTTTCAAGAATCATAATGTTTAGAAAATTCAATCTTAGTACAATTAAATTATAATGTGAAAAACACAATGTCCATGTTAATAGTTAAGCCAAGAAGCTAACAATTACTCAGGGCAAATAGAACATGAACTTTATTTTGGGCATGGATTAGGTCGAGAACAGCATACAATTTCCATAAAATACAACGAAACAAACATAACTGAAAACAGCTACAATGCAAATAATGCAAGTTATATATACATAACAGCTTTGATCATGAAGACAACGAAATATTTACACAATAAGTCTTTCTTTTACTCTCAGTCCAATATTAATGTGATAAAATTTACTTAAGATTAAATCTTTTGAGCGGCTCAGTGCACATAGAACAATATATTTTTTCTATCACTAAGAAATTGCATCTGCTATTAGATTCTCTTTTCTCTTTATATGACTGATGTCACTATTGTAGTTCTGCAACATAAAATTGCATCGTAATAATACCTAATATTTAGTTTTCGTCTTGTCGATGAACTTAAAGATAGAGAGTGTGTGATTTACATCGCAACGATGTCTGCCGTGTAACAGTTTATAGTTATTTCAAGCACTGAGGCATCATACCAGTCACTTTATACTGACATCAGGACGACCAGACATAACACTAAACTCTTAATGATGAGGCGGCTGTTAGTGCTTAGGTCT